TAAATTAAAAGTAAATTGAAATCAATTGAAAGTAAATTAATTAATTAAAAGTAAATTGAAATCAATTGAAAGTAAATGGAAATCAATTGAAAGTAAATTGAAATCCTTTCTTAATTTGATTGACCAAAAAAATGTTGAGGGGGGGCAAAAAAAAGTGCGAGTTATAGAGTATCCTCAAATTGTTTTGGGGGGGGGGCCCCTCACACTAATCAGATGCAAACATTATACATTATTATACGATACTATTAGGTTTAACAGTTAACATATGACATGGAATGTGTGAGATTTTGGGACAAGGGAGAAAAGGTACAGGAACATATGCCAATAGAAACCTTCTACAAGTCTCTAATCTCATGGTTACCCCCAAAATTTCATGGTTGATCATCCTTTCCTCATGACATTAAATACAATCGCCATTTTTTTTCGTATCCCGCAAATTTGGGACACATCCATTTATGGTATTTGGGCGGCTCTATTCGAATTGTGGATAATTGTGGAGCAATGGGATTCCCTATCAACAACAGCCTTGCTGGGTCTGCCACCTCCCCATCTCGTTTGGTTGAAATCTCCTTCAGCGGTGAAATTAGCAACCCTCAACTAGATTGGACACTCCTTGAAAATGGTGGGGGAAAAACATCATCGAACACCATCTTGGAAAGAATGTTCTCTCGTTGTTGGAACCCTGATTACCTATGTTTTCCCCATCAGCATCCCTTCATTTTGACCCTTCATTTTGACTCCTTGACCTTTGAAGGCCGAAGAGTGGACGTACTTTTTGTTTTCCCTTTTCCAGCTATACTCATGCATGTTTGCACCCCAGGTATGGAATGATAACCTCAGTTTTAATCATCTAAAACCATTTTAGAACTTAACTAATTTAACTAGTATCGGGTTCAAAAACTGTAGGATATCTATGTGGGCGAGCGCTTGGTCATTGCCTTCGGTACCAGCGGGATCGTGTTGTGCAACCACGAGTCCAGTCACATTAAGGTTGGGGGTAATCCCTCCGGTAGTTACGGGTGGTTTCTGTGGGAACTCAAGATAGGTTCTGTTCATCAAGACTACTCATAACTCGGGAGAGCACATTTGTAGGTATAATTTGTTTGTTCCTCAGTGATAAACATGGGGAAATGTGCTTTGCCAATGAAGAATTGTTTGTATAGTGAAGACCCAATGTAGTTAATCTCGCTTGGGGTATGTGAATTGGGAAATATGGTGCCTATATAGCTGAAGGATAGCATGTTTGCATGTATTTGAGCTGAAACTTGCCATGTTTGCAGCAACTACCCTGGATAACTATTAGCGAAATCAAGGTAACTCAGCAATGATAGTTATCTAGTGATATCAATAGTTAATAGTGGTATGGTAACTTACCAATAGTGCGAAATCAAGTGATAGTTGGTATTGCACTGACCCTTTAAATAGTTTACATTTCATGGCCCTATTTAGTTTTGAATTGAATCAATTCTCCAGAGGTTTTGGGCAATGACCAAAGTTGGTCAGAGAATTCTCCCAGACATACCCTCTGGTGAACTAACATAGCTATGGAAAATCACCATTTATAATAGGTAAATCAACGAACTAAATGGTTCATTTTCAATAGCAAACTGTTAAATTACCAGAGGGAAGAATAATCCCAATTGACTAATATTTTTCAGAGGGGTTAAAACTTGAAACCACCAACCAGTATTTCTTCGAGAGTCTCACTGTGGCTCCTTGATTCCTCCGTGATCTGATTGTACAGCGTATGATATGATAAAATCCAACCATAAACGTGGTTGCTTGTGTATACAGTCCATAATCCAAATATAACAAAAATCCACAATAATCCGTATATATGTAATAACCATGGTTGCTTCTATATTTTTCGTATATATATATAATCTATTTACAACAATTGTTCCATAATAATAATCCGTATAGTACATTTATATGTATATATATACATATATACATATATATATATATATATACACATATATTTATATACATACATATACATATGCATATATATATATATACATATTTATCAATACATATATATATATATATACACCAATACACATATATATAATAATCATAATAATAATAATGATAATAATAATAATAATGATAATACTAATGATAATAAGAATAATAATAATCTATGTACAACAACAATTCATGATAATAATCCACATATCAATATACATATATATATATATTCACATATAATATCTCGGTCTAGTTCCAAGGATTCTCTTTTGTTCGCTTCATGGGCGCCAGGTCAAGTTTGACGCTTCCTTGTGGGGTACTGGAACTGCAACTGGTTGGAATTCGTTGGAGCTGTTGGGCTGGGAATATCATGGGATTTACATAGCCATGGAAAATCCCAACCATAAATGGAGGTTTATAGCTGGGAAAGTCATCTATTTCTATGGGCCATCATCTATACCATGGCTATGTTAGTATCTGGTTATGTATTTGTTTCATAGCCATGGAAAATCACCATTTTTAATAGGTAAACCATCTATAAACGGGTCATCTATACCATGGCTATTGAAAAGAAATACCCTCTGGTAATGACTAACAGTTTGCTATTGAAAATGGCCATAGAAATAGTGAGTTTCCCCATGAAAAATGGTGATTTTCAATCGTTTTTTGTATGTTTACCAGAGGTTAACATGATTCAACTATCAACAGTAAGGGATTTACAGCACAAAAAATTGGGTGGTGGAACTTTCTTTAATGGATATGGTTGTTCTGGTTTAACCAAAGCACCATGTGATTTTCCTTGGATCTCGAGGGATTTTATGGTGATTTGGATGGGATTTATTGGGATTCAATGGGAGATCATGGGATTAATTCATCCAGGGATGGCATTATAGGTAAATCGCTTGTAATTTGACATAGCTATGGAACATCACCATGTTTAATAGGTAAATCAATATATGTAAATCATTGATAAAAGGACGATTTCCATGGCCTTGTTAGATTACGGGAGGGTATATAATAACATCTTCCCCAAGAAGAACCAAAGTCGTAAGCAACCCATTGTGCTGTTATAATTGCTGGGAGACTTGCACAATCTTTCACACCATATTCCTACAATATGAGGCCCCCGTTCGATAGCTAAGTTGGTGAACATTACTCCAATAACATCCAATAACTATCAATGGGAAATTCAGGATCCTAAAATGGAGGTACTGTACCATATAAGGCCATATTTTGGGGGTATATCCCCTTACATAGGCCTTACATAGGCCTTATATACCCCTAGGTACCTCCAATCAATCGGTTCCTGAAATGGCCATTGATCACTATGGTTTATGGTACTATAGTTACTGGGGCGAATCTAAGCCAACGTTCACATCACTGGGGTGCCTCATGCGGGAGGTTCCAGGATTTCACCCCCCATGATATCAGCCCAACGAATCTCCAAAGATGTGGCCAGGAAAAACGACAAAGAACTCGTGGTATAGCTGCATGTGAATTTGATACAAGTTTTTTTCATATATATATATATACATACGTAAGTATATATATATACTGGTAGTATATCTATATATATATATATTTATTTAGTAGATATATATGTATATATATATATATAACTATATATACATATATAGAGTAATATTTAATATAATATATTATATGCATGAACATATGTATAAATTGCATAGACATAGCATACTTTCATTTTCCACTGAGGTCAACGTCTTTCCCAACGACCTGATGCGTCAAATGCCTCCAAATCCGCTGGGCTTGAAGATAGGAGAAGCTGTTGCCACCTGCCAGAGAATGGTGATTTAAGGGGCCAAATGGTGAATTTTGGCCGGTGTTTTTTTTTGCAATTTTTTTGGCAGCCCCAAAAAATGATAGAATCTGATAGAACTTGAAGCCTCATCCATCACAATAGGTAATATGGTCATGTCAAACACATATGTTTTTTGGGTTTGACACAGCAAAGCATAGCCTATCTACAACATAAAACAAACTGTCTATTTCATGATCATTACTGCTATTCTTTTTTATGTTTATTTCTACTCCAGGAGGGCTTTCACTAAAGTTGCATACTGTTTGAAAAAGGCAAGTATCTTCTTGAGAATTGCTATCACTCACATCAGTTTATTGCTCAAAAGAAACATGTAAGCATGTTCTATCTACTTCAGGAAAACTCGATATATATATATACTACATACATTTATGTATACATAAACAGGATCCCGGATCCTTAGAAGCACACATAAGCACATACATTAATTTCTGCTTGATTTGTTTTTCTCGCTTCAGTCATTTGTGCATGGGGCATTTTGTAAGTCACTGGGTTCCCAGCGTATCTTATATATACATATTTGGTGTACACAGAACATAGAATTCATTTTGCTGGCCGGTGATTGCATAAATAACAATGTATATGAATACGTATATACCCATACATAGTTGGTATAAATGTATATATGTATATGTATATAGTATACATACCTATATACAAACCCCAAGGGTATTAATTTTCTATGGTATATGTTACCACACCATAGTCCGCTTATCATACAATTTTTATCGCAAAAAAGTTGGATGTCCATGAAATATCCCCTGCCATTTTGTATTTTACATTACATCACGTTACATTACCTGGCATAGCTGGTACATTTATATTCATATATACCCCAGAGATGGTATGTTTTATATCTTTCTATGGTTATCATACCATCACCAAACAAATGATCTGAGGCGTTGGAAGGGGACTACTCGTTTGTTTTGCAATAGTGTATGTTTCTATGGTGTATGTTATCGTACCATAATCGCTTATCAATACCATGTTCATCCCACAAACAAATATATATATATATATACATACTCAATAATATATATATACATATACACTAGATGATATAATGTAAATAATATATATATATATACAATATATACAAGATAATATATGAATATATCTACAGACCATGTTCATCCCAAACAAAAATCATCAGTGAAATCCGCAAGATCTGCAGATTGCCGCCATGAACCTGATGATTGGCGACGTGGTGGCCATCCCCTTCGGCACGCGTGGCACGGTGCTGGGCCCGAGGCCTGAAGGACGGATCGAGGCCAGGTAGAGGGTAGGTATGGGCTTAGGTTTATGTATATATATATATATATACACTATGTTGAAAGATATATGTCTTCAGATTATGTCGAGATATGGTTTTTCAGTGGTATAGTTCTGTTTTCCAAAAAAACAAGCCACACATCAGTGTTTTTGTTAGATGCTTGATATTCAAAAAAAAGTACCAGCTATCTATGGTATGTTTTATATGTTTTATATGTTTCTATCTTTGAAGATTTTTATCGCGATCACTTGACACCACGAAGCCAGCTTCATCCCCTTCAGGTGAGCTTTGAGGAGAGCAGCGCGGAACCGGCGAAGAATTTGAACGTCCAAAGCTTCGAGATCCAACCCGCCAAAGAACTGCTAGGCGACCCGGTCAACCAGAAACCTGGGAGAATCATGATACACGGGGACTGGGATTTATGTATATAGTATATATATATATATATAGTATATATAGTATATATATATATGATTTTATATGAATTATTATTATATATATATATATATATAAATGTGAAATTACTACTTGATAGATATATGCAAATAGCCTATAGCCATCGATCCAGATTTACCTGGATAATGATTGTCCTAAATATGCAGACAACTTGCATAATCAAAGAACACTTCCAGTAAGGAACTAACACACATAGACATTTCACAATTCCAGAAAGACAATGCTAATTAAAGGACCGGATAACCCCACATGTTACCAACTTCTTTAGACTTAGACTGACCATAGAAAAGCAAGAAGGGAAGAGGAAGTATAAGAGTGATGGAGCGGTGATGGTAGGTGAGTTTGTGTGTATGTATGTATGTTCATGTACAGTGAGTGAGTGAGAGTGTGAGTGAGTGATGTGAGTGTGGTGTGTGTGAGTGAGGGATGTGAGAGTGAGTGAAGTGAAGTGAAGTGAAGTGAAGTGAAGCGAAGTGAAGTGAAGTGAAGGGAAGTGAAGTGAGTGAGTGGGTGAGCGAGTGAGTGGGTGAGTGAGTGAGTGAGTGAGTGATGTGAGTGAGTGAGTGAGTGAGTGAGTGAGTGAGTGAGTGAGTGAGTGAGTGAGTGAGAGTGTGAGAGTGTGAGAGTGTGAGTGTGAGTGTGAGTGTGAGTGTGAGTGTGAGTGTGAGTGTGAGAGTGAGTGAGTGAGTGAGTGAGTGAGTGAGTGAGTGAGTTGAGTGAGTGAGTGAGTGAGTGAGTGAGTGAGTGAGTGAGTGAGTGAGTGAGTGAGTGAGTGAGTGAGTGAGTGAGTGAGTGAGTGAGTGAGTGAGTGAGTGAGTGAGTGAGTGATGAGTGATGAGTGAGTGAGTGAGTGAGGCGGGAGGCGAGGCGGCGGGAGGAGGAGGAAGAGGAGCGGATACAGAACTAAAAACAAAAACCCCACACGTCAATGTGGGGAAAAATAAGTAAAAAGGTTTTGGGTAGGTTGGCAAGTTTTTTTAGAATATATTATCCTTTTCAGGATATTTTCCTATTCAGGAACAATCCTTTTTAGGAACTATATCCTTTGCCTTGGGAGCCATGGCAGAGAAAGAAGCAGCGGTTCAGCACAGACCAGCTGCCAAAGTATGGCTGCGAGTCATATTATAGATTCTCTCATAGCTGCTTGTAATGGTTGTGAAGTAAAATATGTTGGAAAAATAACAAGAAACGTTTAGAAACTCAAGATTCAAGATGTTGAAACGATAATCCCTGAAAAGGATGTAGTTCCTGAAATGGAAAGTTTCTTCCATGAATCTTTCATATTTGGAATTGTAAGTTATCTAAAGTTTCTGATGTCTATTTCTTGGGATTCTATGATTTTTCTGGGTTCTTTTTTTTTGATTTTCTGAATTTTCTGGAGTCTGATTTTTCTATTTTTTCTAGATTATATTTTTGTTTGGTTTCCTAAATTTTCTGGATTCTAGCTTGTTTGGTTAGATTTTCTGAACCCTACTTTTTTCATGATTTTTGGTTAGGTTTTCTGAATTCTCTGCATTCTATTCTATTTTCTTTTGCATTTTCCAAAAATTTTCGGGAGTATTTTTTTAAGATTTTCTGAATTTTCCGGATTCTGAATTTTCTATTTTTTCTAGATTCCATTTTTTCTTGGGGGTTTCTAAATTTTCTGGATTCTAACTTTTTTGGATTTTCAAAATTTTCTGGATCTTTTTTTTTTTGGGGGTGATTTTCCAGATTTTCTGGATTCCATGTTTTTTTTTCGATTTTCTGATTTTTTCTGAATTCTAAATTTTCTGAATTCCGAATTTTCTGAATTTTCTGAAATCTGAAGTTTTTGATTTCAAAATTTTTGAAAAAATCTGGAGTCTATTTTTTTGCATTCCCTGAACTTTCTGGATTCTATTTTTAGATTTTCTGAATTTTCTGGATTCTATTTTTTTTTTCTTTTATAAATTTTCTGGATCCTATGTTTTTTCAATTTTCTGAATTTTCTGGATTCTAAATTTTTCCAGTTTTTCGAGGTTCCATTTTTTGTTTCTTTTTTCAAAATTTGCTCAATTTTCTGCATTCTGGATTTTCTATTTTTTCCAGGTTCTATTTTTTTTTTGTTTCCTAAATTTTCTGGATTTTGAATTTTCTAAAGTTTCTGGTTTCTATTGTTTTGCATTTTCCGAATTTTCTGGATTCTATTTTTTTTTATTTTTCTGAAATTTTCTGAATTCTATTTTTTTATAATTTTCTGAATTTTGTGGATTCTATTTTTTGCTTTTATAAAGGTTCTGGATTCTATTTTTTTTGGATTTTCTGAATTTTCTGGATTCTGAATTTTCGAATTTTCTGTTTTTTTGAGTTTATGTTTTTTTGAGTTTATGTTTTTTTGGGATTCTGAATTTTCTTTTGTTTTTACAACTTATTTTTTTAGATTTACTGATTTTTCTGGATTTTGATTTTTCTGAATTTTCTCAAGTTTGAGTTTTCCTTTTCAAGAACCTGAATTTTCAGAAACTCTCCTTTATTCAAGATAAATTGGCTTAAAGTGGGCTCCGTTTTGGGACCACTAGGCGGCATGTACACTCAGGTATTTCCATCTCCTTTGCTGGGACTTTCCTTTGTAGGAAGCATCCTTTTCAGGACGTTTCCTTTACTGGAAGTTTCCTTCACAGGAAGTATCCTTCAAAGGAACTTTCCTTTACTGTGACTTTCTTTTACAGGAAACATTCTTTACAGGAACTTTCCTTTACTGTAACTTTCTTTTACAGGAAGCATCCTTTACAGGAACTTTCCTTTACTGTAACTTTCTTTTGCAAGAAGCATCCTTTACAGGAAGCATCCTTTACAGGAACTTTCCTTTCCAGGAACTATCCTTTACAGGAGCTTTCCCTTTCAGGACTCTACTTTATTGGCAGTTTCCCTGTACAGGAACCATAGTTTTGAGGCATCTATTTTTCCAACTATTCCTGGGCAGCAATCATGTTCACCTTAGATCATTTGGTGAGAGTAAATTTGGAGCACCTTGTGCTTGCAAGAAACGTATGTCCAGATATTTTCAGATATTTCCAGATATTTTTGACTAATGTTCAACTATATTTGATTATATCTTCATTATCATGTAGTAAATTCAAATAAAAAAAAGTGGAACTCAACGCAAAATAAACTTTCAAAAAACCATTTAAACAGGATATTAGCAGGATGAATGCATTAAATATCATTAAATAATGGTTGGAGGGGGCATTCCTCACCAGGAACGAGCCATGCTTTGTAAAAAAAAACCTGGTGAAGATATAATCAAATATAGTTGAACATTAGTCAAAAATATCTGGAAATATCTGAAAATATCTGGACATACGTTTCTTGCAAGCACAAGGTGCTCCAAATTTACTCTCACCAAATGATCTAAGGTGAACATGATTGCTGCCCAGGAATAGTTGGAAAAATAGATACCTCAAAACTATGGTTCCTGTACAGGGAAACTGCCAATAAAGTAGAGTCCTGAAACGGAAAGTTCTTGTAAAGGATGGTTCCTGGAAAGGAAAGTTCCTGTAAAGGATGCTTCCTGTAAAGGATGCTTCTTGTAAAAGAAAGTTACAGTAAAGGAAAGTTCCTGTCAAGGATGCTTCCTGTAAAAGAAAGTTACAGCAAAGGAAAGTTCCTGTAAAGGATGTTTCCTGTAAAAGAAAGTCACAGTAAAGGAAAGTCCCTGTAAAGGATGCTTCCTGTGAAGGAAACTTCCAGGAAAGGAAACTTCCTGAAAAGGATGCTTCCTATAAAGGAAAGTCCCAGCAAAGGAGATGGAAATACCTGAATGTACATGCCGCCTAGTGGTCCCAAAACGGAGCCCACTTTAAGCCAATTTATCTTGAATAAAGGAGAGTTTCAGAAAATTCAGGTTCTTGAAAAGGAAAACTCAAACTTGAGAAAATTCAGAAAAATCAAAAACCAGAAAATTTCGAAAATTCAGAATCCAGAAACTTTATAAAAGCAAAAAACAATAGAATCCAGAAACTTTATAAAAACAAAAAAATAGAATCCATAAAATTCAGAAAATTAAAAAAAATAGAATCCCGAAAATTCAGAAAAGCTAAAACTGCAAAAAATAGAAACCAGAAACTTTAGAAAATTCAAAATCCAGAAAATTTAGGAAACAAAAAAAAATAGAACCTGGAAAAAATAGAAAATCCAGAAAATCCAAAAAAATAGAATCCAGAAAAATTAGAAAAACTCAAAAAAATGGAACCTAGAAAAACTAGAAAATTCAGAATCCAGAAAGTTCAGAAAATTTAAAAAACATAGAATCCAGAAAATTTATCCAAGCAAAAAAAATAGAATCCAGAAAATTCAGAAAACCTAAAACAATAGAATCCAGAAAATTCAGGGAATGCGAAAAAATAGAATCCAGATTTTTTTGAAAATTTAGAAGTCAACAAAATCAGAAAATTCAGATTTCAGAAAATTCTGAATTCAGAAATCCAGAAAATTCAGAATTTGAAATATATATTTATAATTTTCAGTGGACTGTCACCAAAACCCTGAAGTATGATCCATGGCGCTTTTAGACTAAGACCCACTAGTGTGCGGGGAGTTTTCCCCTTGAGCGTCGACCTAAGCCTCAGCCTAAAATGGCGATATGTAGTGCAGAAATTCCAAGCATGACATCTTACGAGTGTGGGTTCGCACTCGTGCACCCACCCGGCAAAGAAAAGGGCGGTGTTTCTCTTAAAAAAATGGTACTGGAGTGTCCAAAATTCATTTCGCACCTCTAGGCCTATGCCACTCACGTTCACCGCTGGCAAGACACATCTCGTCTTGGTACATAACTGTGGGAAGGCATTTCGGACTACGTTGCTCCCAAGAAAAGCCGTAGCTGCTGCCACTGTCGTGTACACTGGAATGTCAGACCAGACTTGCAGAAACATTGTGACACTGGAATAGTC